GAGAGAGAGAGAGAAAGAAAGAGAATGAAGCTCTCTTGTTAAAATATATAATATTAAATACGTAATATAAAAATTAGTAACTCCAAGAATATAGCATTTAATTTATTTCTTAATTTTGCTAAATCGTCAACAAACTGCAAATGATTTGAACACTTATTTCGTTATTTTCCGCAAAATTGCTGTGAAACACTTTCGCGCTGCTGACCTGTTAGACGATTAAGAGCGTACCTTGCCAAATTCAGTAAATCCCTGCTTCGACAAAAACCCACAGTATATAATCACCGTATTATTAATGAACGCGATCTGGCTATTCGCCAGCAGCCGCTGTCTGCGCTTCCTGTGACAATCCAAGCCTGTTAGCATCGCAAATGGACAAGTAACGGGGTCGATAACTGCACCGTCGCCTCTTTTAACATGTAAAAAAAAAAAAAACGACCGAAAATGATACACAGTGGTATCGTTGAACCTCGCATAGTTTTTTTATGGATATTGCGTAAAAAATAACGAGCAACGCTGCGAACGTTCGACGTTCTAAAATTACTAACTACAAAATCGCAGCCTCGTACGCGCACAGTACTTGTAATAAATTTCATAGATAAGTTAATTTTGGAAACTGAAGTCAGATAAGTTTTGAATATCTTGCTTGAAAGTACACTTATCGTAGTAATTTCTACGCGCATCCTACTTAAACATGTTTCCAAGTTGAACTTACACCATTTTCGTAGTAATCATCGCATATTAATGTATATTTAGAACTTTCGATTTTAGCAACGCTCAATGTAAAAAATGAAAATAATTAAGGATACATAAATATAATATAAAGTACGAAAAATATATGTGTAGATTACATAGAATCAAAAATATTCAATAAAATGTACATTTTAACATTCTGGACGAAAAAATTGATCTTTTACTTCGCTGCCACTTTACTATGCAAATTTTCAAACTGAAATAATCAAATCTCAAAGTCCAAATTCTATTGTATTATATATTTTTAATTACTTTAATCGGTATATCACGTATGCAAGATTCATTCGGCAGAGCGTGCGAAATGATTTATTCGCGGCCGAGGTAGAAGTTAAGGGTTAACGCAACGATCTACTGTACGTGATATCGCGCACTGGTTGAAATTATTCCGGAAGAGTATTATGTAGCTAGGCGCTTGGTTTCTTCGCCAAAAGTGCAGCGAAGTAAGTGAAGAAAAATCTCGAGGCGGTTGGTAATATAAAATCTTGAGGATCGTAAGTTCGCGGGTTTGCTGAGGAGAACGAAGTAAAAAGGGAGAGAGAGGAGTAGCGGAACCGCGGCGGAAGTTCCTCGTTGAAAAATATACATTCGCTCTTTCATGCCGAATTTAGATTATCGGAAAAAGTGCGGCTGCGAAGTGTGCGTTACCGGCGAAGTGAATTCTCGCGAAAGCGTCTCGCCTTCGATTCGGCCATTGGGAAGCGTCACGACTGTGTGATACTTGTTTTCGCAGTTAAAAGCCTGGGCTATAGAAGAGCTACCGCACCGCAAAATAAGTTGCAATCACTTACAAGCTACTTTACACAAGAGATACTCCGTTGCATCGTGTGTATGTGTGCAACATGTAACAGAAAATGTATAGTAGAAAAAGTTTATATTGGAAGCGAAAAACCGCTTCGCAAACTGTGCTTCGTAGTATTTATTTTATCGTTATAAAATATGCAAAATATAGCAATGCAATAAAATAGGAATTCTTTTACGAAAACATTAAATCTATAAAATTCTTTCGTTAAATCCATGCAAGCCTTTAAATAAAGTTTTCCCTTGTTTTATCAGCTTTCATTGGCAATGACAATTATTTTTAACAAGCCGATACTAACTGATGGATCATGAATATATCATTCGTTGACGGTGCTTTAAAGAAAATTGATGGAGTCGGTAATAAGCCCCTTATGAAAAGTAGCGGAGGACTGCATTGCGACAATAACGCAGTATTTTTCAGAACAATGTGACAGACAACTGAGAAAATATTCCGAAAGATATTTTTATTATACCGAAATAACAAGTCTTCTACAAGGAGAAAAGGCGGCAAAATGTGATAAAAAGACAGCACTGACCGCGGATAACTATGATATTTTACGATGTTTGGCGACAACAGCGCCTATAGAGCTCGCGTTTGACTCGATTCCAATTTACAGTCAAAACCGACGACATTTCACATCGGGCACATATTGTAATTCAAAACTCTAACGGAATTCGAAACGCGAGACATAAATGTCCGCGCGCAAATTTTTCTTGCAATGTGCCGTTGTATTTTGTCGCAATATGCAATTTATTACTAGCTGTGAATCGCAGCACAGTGCATGGTTTTCATGCCCACGAATCTGCATATTTTTTTGCACCGGCGCTTTATAAATGCGCATATATCGTCACTTTATATAGACACATTTAATAAATATCGATATATGCCGCATAAAAACTCGTTAACAATATGTTAGTTAACGTTATAGCAAGCAAAACGTTAAGCTTTTTAAACATAAAAATAATATTTAATAATGTTTTGAATTTATCATACGTAAAATAAAAAAATTGTGTTCTATATTTTGTTCTTTTACCTTTTTTACGAACTAGCAAATGCGCAAACTGTTCTCTGATTGATAAATGTACATTTATTACACGAAAATAACGATTAATTCGTGCCAATTTATGCAATGATTAATTTAGTGATATTGCAACAAAATTATCTCGACATAGCCTTCCCATTTGTTTACGCATCCATAAATTAACTAACTCAAATAACACATATTATCACCAAACAAACAAAGGAATTTAAAATTGATATCGTATCTGAAATTTTATGTAAGAAAAACGAGTTATTTCGCATATTTTCACATATTTTAATCGCAACATGAAAAATATTATAAAAAAATATAATGAACATTATTAACGTATAATTTATATCATTACTTCTTTATATTTTGTATCTCATTTAACAATAATACATATGATATTTTACGTTACGCGCATATTTCAATAGCATCACTTCAGATATTACATTTTATTTCATCAAGGCCCATTAAGCTGCATGTATTGTGAATTTTTAAGAGATATTAAACTCTGGTACTTGTTGCCTTTGCGTGATAGCATATTATTACGATCGATGTAGACAGCCCGAAAGTTAAATTACACCGCAAGAGACGTAAAAGCGTTACGGTAACAGTTAACCCGACTGTAATAATAACATAGCTTGTGATTGATTACTCGTGTTCCAGGCGTATGTCGATCTGGTGAAGGCCTGGGGCTGGAAGAGTTTCACCATTATCTACGAGAACAACGAGGGGCTCGTGCGATTGCAGGAACTTCTGAAAGCGCACGGACCTAGCGAATTTCCCATTACGGTCAGACAGCTGAGCGAGGGATCGGAGTATCGGTGAGTTGGTTCCGTCTGCTCTTTTTCTTCCGCGGTGCACTACAGCTTCCTTTCCAGGGTAGTAAGCTCGTGGTATTAAGCCCCTCCTCCTCCCCCCCCCCTCCACGCAGTCCCACATCGATATCCTTATCTATCCTATATTCCTCATTCGTTATACGACGACTTATAGACTTACGTCCTAGTTCGTAAAATCCGCATGATATTCTCAAAGAAATTAAACTTTTCAATTTTATGCATTACTTTTATTTTTTATATTATTTTCCGTGTTAAATTAAAACAAAACAATAATATTTTAAATTGTAAATATTGGAAACAAAAACATCGTATTAATGCTAACTGTCGCCTCGTCACTGGATTGATTTTTCGACAGTGAGTTAAATCCGTAAAAATTCTTGCGGAGTTTTTTCCACCCCATCAGAATTTATGTATTCAATTTTTAAAAATTGAATGCATTCGGAGCCATTTTCCTAAGAAGCAAGCCGATCGCATTAGTTCACTTAGATCAGTTTATTTCTTCTCCAGCCATAATGACGTTTAAGTCGGTTATTGATGCTCCTATTCGATTTATTTCCTCAAGCAGAATCAAACAATATAAAAGATATCTTCATCATAAGGCGTTTATCGAGATGGCTTATATCGCGAAGGAAAGAAAAATTATATCGAATGCCTCATTAATCTTTTTGGGGCTCTTTTTGATTAAGAAGGGCATCTACGTATTAAACTTGAGCGAAATCGAAGCGCTCGCAGAAACTCGGTTGTCTTTAATCGACTATTCTCAAGATTTGGCTTCTGATTCATCTTGCGCAATAGACATTCACCCGATCGATCGTTCTCAATCGCTTGCAACAGCGCATAGATTTCCATCGTGTTCAACACGTCGAAACGGCCCAAGAGCGGCACTTGGTTGTACGCGATCGATATTATCGTCGCATTAACGGCAAGCCCAAACATCAGTCGTATCGTACGCGGCGCACCGCACGACTGCGCACCGAAAATGGTCCATTAAGACTGAAACGTCGTGTCGGCGTGTAACGCTTACTACGACGATGATCTTCTTAGGTAGAGTCGTGACGCGGAGGTGGTATCGATCGTCAGGTTGTGCTGTCGGTTAGAAACTGTGTCAACTGTGAGGTAGCACGCAGCCAATGGGCGAATCTTCTGCCCTTGCGTTCTATTTTGCCCGATAACCTGTTTGTTGCGCTCACCCTTTCGGGCGATAATGGTGGCGGGACTGCCTCGAGGAACACCTCGCGATTGCGACGTTCCTATTAAGCTTCTAATTAAAATTCTATTAAAGTACAATCAAAATGAAGTAAAAAGTAAGATTTATCTGCTCGCACTCTTAAAGTTGAAGTGATAAAAATCTATAATCTTCATCCGCTAATAATTAGAAAACTATTTGAAAATTCATTATTTTTGTTAAGCCGAAATCAAATCTAAAACGGCAGATAAAAAGAGATGCGTGGAATTTAAAACAGTTTCTACATTCGAAGTTTTTATAAAATTTTACTTTAACGATGCGATAGTTGCGTGGCAATTAAGATTATTCTTTTTTTTTTACTCTAGAAGTCGATATATTATCGTTCACTCAGAGAACTGTATCCATCTGGACCTCTGACGGGATTGAAGTATATCTATGTTTGTCTCCTGCATCGCGCCATATTATTCGTTCTGCGGAAAAAGTTTCTCGTAAGTTACATTATTCATACGAACCATCCGCGACGGTGACTTATTGCCGCCGCCCTGCGGCTAGAAGGTTGAAACGATAGGGATTTGAATAAATTCGGTTAGATTTGCCCCTGGACGTGTAACGTATCCTGTCTTAAAATTCAGCGCTTGCAGTACGCTCCTCTTGTTTCAGCAAAGCGTCCAATTTACAAAACTTCCGTCGAATCACATACCGCATGCGGTATAATGCATTGCGCGTCTCTTCCTCTCAATGAAATGAGATCGTTTCCGCGAAATACCCGCGTAATAAGGCAACAGTCTCTGTTTCTTGAGACTTTATCTCAAACTTTTACCGTTAATCTTCAGGCGACGGCGCGACAAACAAATCAACATGCGCTTTCGGATATGTAATATTTAATGAAGAAGCGTCACGCAAGTGAAAAGTATCGAGAGAGCAACGGAAATGGGCGATTGTTTTAATAATTTAATACGCATTATTTCAACCGCAAGATTGGCGAACTCGGACTCGATCGTATCTCCTCTTGTAAGATTAACTTCCACGCGCTGACTTCGTACAGTTATTCCCGACGTGGACGAAGGAAATGAACGACGCTCGCGGAGCGTAGCGCAGCCGCGAGGCGGAAATGAAGTCGTATCTTATCTCGGTCCCGCTCCCTCCGACCACTCACCGAGATTCGCGAAGTGAATAATTCCCCGACTATTCATTTTGGCGTTCCGCTTTAGCGTGAGCGCTCACAGTATGGACAAAAGGAGGGCGAGTGAAGCCCGCATGGAAACAAGGACCGGCGGGACGGCAAAATAAAACGCGTCCCTTATTTTTCAAGAAAGGTGCAGACGCGGAGAGAAAACGACGCGTCTAAAACTGAATCTTCCCGAAGCGAGTACTGTAAAATGAGTTAAAATTGCACCGCGCGGATCTACAGCCGGAAAGAGTTTCCGCCGGAGTTTGACACAAGAGAGAGAGAGAGGATATCTATATAGAAACATGGCACTTTGATAAGATAGAGTTCAAATTGTAATTCTACGTAAGTTCGAGTATGAATAGCCGGCGAGAGCTCGATACATGAATAGCACGGGGATAGTTTCTCAAAGCGAGATAAGAATGCGCGACTGTACTCGTACGGCGCAAGTACGTCATAGTGATTTCTGTTGGAACTCACGAGAGCGCGAGATAATCTCTGGAGCTACGACTGTTTCGAAGCGAGCGGACACCTGAAAGTGCTTAGCTTTCGCGGAGGAGATTCTGTGAGAGAAACGGCTCACGAACGGATCGACAGCATCGCGCTTTATCGTGGAGAACACTTCGACGGGCGAAAGTGGGAGGGGAACCGACACGGAAAATCGCAGGAAGGAGAAATACGTGAGTTCCACTGGTAATACAGCTCCGCGGTTAAACTGCTAGCCTGCGCAAACAGTTGCCGCTGCACTTCGTAGGGCAGCTGACAGTGATATAAAACTTTATCACCGATAAACGCACCCGAGCGCAAGATGACCGCCCCGAAACCATTTTCGACACGGTCGGAATAATATCGCGCGTTCGTGTTTACAAGTGATCTCTATGCAACAAGTATGCCGTTGGAAACGCGACTTTAAAAATCGTTTGGGTAACACAAGTTATAACTCGTAATCATAAAAAAAAAATAAAATAAAATAGTTAAATAATGTACTTCACACTATCCAGCCACACCAGAAGTAAAGCGTTTATCGCAATTTGATTCGAATTAAAAATATACAATATTGAAAGTTTTTGGGATTCTTACAAAATATTTCGTATACTAGCGTTTTCAAAGTTCCACTTGCAAATTCTAAAAAACATACATTAATAACATAAAAGTATTTACGCAACTTGCAAGTTTCAAGTATTCCGAAACTATGTTTCACAGACGACCTATTTTTCAATATCATTAAACGGATGCTTAAGAATTAATATTCGCGTGCTTCACCGTGCACGAACTATCGTCGCGTTTACGTTCAGCGTTGCTTAATCTTTCGCAGATTCGAGAGAAACCGCGAGGGTGCGTTTGAGTGGTAACTCAAACCGTGTCTATATCTAAGTTCCGAAGTCGATTCTAAGGTTCCGCACTAAGCGAACTGCGAAAGGCTGCCGCCGCCATTGCCGCTAAGTCACTCATCTAATGGAGAGAAACGAGAAGATGGAAGGAAGCTGCGCGCGCGCGCGCGCGCGCGAGGGCTGGTACAGCATAAGTAATTGAAATGTTTCGAAGTCAGCCGTGTGGAAACACTCGGGTGTATATACACCTGCAGTTATACGAACGGCATGATGATAAGGAGCTTCACCCTCTCAAGAAGACTTCAAACGCATCGGCCAATACGCCTTGGCTATGGATTTCGGGATAGTTTCGCCGTTCTCGCAATCTCACAGCTGGTCCGGCAGACCTTACGTCACGTTTCCCGCCGTCCGATTGATCAAAGGAACGCGCTCTGCCGCGAGATGAACGCGCCTCTTTCCTTGTTCCGCCTGCTTCAAATTAGGGAACATCCGCGGAACTCCGCGTGCAAAAGTTTTTCTTTGATCGACTACGCAAGGTTCCGCTTCGACCGACGCAGGAAATGGAATTTTTACTTATTTATACCGCGATGCGGTGTAATGCATCCTTTAGTTCTTTCTTACGATTCCCGTCGTATATAAAGTAGAGCAAGAGATTGCTGTTATCAGGCCATAAATTGTTCATTCTTACAAAAGCTACTATATCTTGACTCGAGGTGTCCGTTGATTTACAAATTTAGATTAGGTAAACGAAAAATGTGTGGGAGTTGGCGAAGCAGAATCGGTATTGAATAGCTGAGACTACCATATAAATTTCCAGCCCGCTGATAAGAGTAGCGATGTTTAGATAAGTAAAATATCTATGCATACGTTATTCGTGCTTATCGTGTATGCAAAGCTGCCCTGAGAAACATGACGTCCATCGTAAAGTCGCTGGCCGAAATGATTTCGCGTCTCGTGTACCTATATTTTTTCAACGTTCGTGCAGACATCGTTTGTCCGCCATGAATTCGCTTAATACTGCAACTCGTGCGGCTCTAACACTACGTTTTATGCTTCTGGTTGCCATAATAATTTTTCCTGCGGAAGCTTTCTCTCTCTCTCTCTCTCTCTTTCTTGCACTAAAACCACCATTGGGAAGAGCAAAAATATTCACGCACACACGTACGCGCGCACATCAATGTATTCGACATGTTTAGGCAGGATTTTCCCGGGAGTGTAAGCAACGAGAAGATCTCAGATTTCTGCCACTTTGCAAACTTCCGCGATAAATGTTTGATGAGCAATGAAATCGAGCCGAGAT